TTCAAGAAATGTAACATTGATTAACATAATATAAAGGGTAAACGAAAAACATGGAATTCAATTAATAACATTACATTATGAGCATGGCTTCCATTCGGTTACATGCTAATTAGCAGTTGTATTAGCAGTCATCTCTATCCTGTATTCTTCTTTTGTGCATATGTATGCAAAATTGAGCATGTTCCTCTTTGTCATTGCAGTTTGATAGGTTTCACAAGTGCTAAAATGTGGTCATAGATAGTTATTTGACCTTATACGAGCTTTTTAATTCTTCATTTCTTATGGCCAGCACTGGGTGCGTCCATTGTTTGCAAGAAGAAGTCAGATTGCATAGAGTATAAGATAATTGCTTTTTACTTGATTTATTATCTTAGACATGTTTCAATGAGTTCATGGTCTCAATTGCTAGTTTCCATTTGTCTGCGATATGGCATTGCTTCATAAAATTAGCAATTAATATCAAAGTTAACATGTTTTAAGGATACAACATGCTAATCAGGCTAGCTAGCACGCACTAGCATCAGCTGACAATTCCATGTAGGTTTATAACAGGGAGGAGCAACCCTTTTCACATTGTGACTGTCATTTGAGCTGTGTTTATTACAAAAATAATTAGTTTTAGGTGCTTTAGTCATACATTTAAACTGTTTCTTGTTGCAAACCCCACAGGGCATCTACTGAGGTCGCCTGTAGGTGAAAGATCAACGTTTGTATATACTTACTGTAAATCAGTCTGTCTCACGTGCAATTAAGCTTTCTTTTGCTCTGCTGTCAGTAAGTCATGGTTTAGCTATCATTTATTGTCCTTTAGCCTACGGTGACGGCTTAACCTCAGAGGATTTATTTCTGGCATTGACTCAGTTCTCAGTTCCAGCTCTCAGTCTGATATGGCATGACACCAGCAGACTGTAACTCATCCTGATTGGATCAGGACAACACACTTGAGTCAGCAATGCTATAGTCAGACTGTGGTCAAGACAATGAGAACAATGATTACTGCATTTAACTACATTATGCAATAAGACATCTTGGCACATCCTCGTCTGTCTGGAGATGTTTAAAGCCATTAACCAGCATACCATGGTCATTTACATTAACTGTATGCATTTCTTTTGAACTATTAAGGGCAGTAAATCTAAACAACTCAACATTGGAGAAGGGAGAACAAACAGAAACCCTGCTGTTCTGCTATGCCCCCAGGTTAATGTTTTTTCATTGGTTGGCTGAGTTTATCCTGGTTGCCGTCACTCCCTGCCAATCTGCTGTCATTCAGCCTAATCCTCTGTTGGCAGGCCAGGTGGTTCTCTGTTACGGACAGAAGAACACGGACTGTGGAAGTCTTGGCCTCTTAGTACCTTCAGCAGCAGGCAATCAGGTCATGTCAGTATTTAAAACACTGGCTTTTGATGGCCCATATTAAAAAAGGCTGAGTGATGTCCCAAATACAACATTGTATTTGGGACATTTGCACATTTAATTTTGCAAATGAAAGCAATCAAAATGTTGCCTGCACATTAAGGTGCACTGTGAGATTCTTGTATGCCTTCTGATCCCTGCGTTAGAGGGAAATATTCAGTCAAAGCCTCTAAACAGGTGAATGGCTTGGAAAAAGTTGTTTTGTTCTCAGCACGGTATCCACTTATCTAAAAGCAAAAATGTTATGCCAACCAGTCTAGTACCTAAAATGTGGGAATGTTTTAGTGATGCAATTCTGTCTATTCTCAACAAATTAACAATTACCAGACCGAGGTATTTGACAGATTTATGACCGTGATAGAGCCGCAACCTTAGAAGCAGTCAGGGAACGTTACAGATGTGTAAAGTAGGGGCAGGGAGTGGGCATGTAGCCAATGCTCCACCCCCACTTGGCATCACAGCTGGTGTAATCTCATGGCAAGATTGTCTCTAGTTTGAGTCTGCCCAACCCTACTAAAACATCTTATCCTTCCAGATTGTATGTTAGCAGGCAAGTTTAAGGGAATAAAGTACTTATTTTAATGGCTTAGATGTACATAACTGCAAGTTTATGGTGGCTCATAAAGAGAACAAAAGCACCTACTGAGTTACTCGGTCATATTTAGCTACTGTTTATGAATAGAGAGCAAACAGTTACATTCCTACCCAGTCTCCTCCTGTTAGCAGGAAGTAATCGGAGCACAGGAAGATTAAGTATTTGGATGTACAAGTTTAGATAAGTGCAAACTTGGAGCAGTTACCAGAGGTATAAAATTGAGGTATAATTTCTTCCATTACATTGCATTTAGCTGACGCTTTTATCCAAAGCGACTTACAATAAGTGCATTCGACCAAGATACAAACTTGAAGAAAACAGAATCATATAAGTACATCAGGTTTCATAGAGCTAAAACATTTCAAGTGCTACTCAACTGGCTTTAGATAAGCCAGTCCTTTACTAGTATACAAGTGCTTTGTTAGCAATTCTTTGTTAGTAATTCTATCGCTTGAAGTGGAGCCGAAAGAGGATTAGTTTTCAGTCTGCGCCGGAAGATGTGTAAGCTATCTGCTGTCCTGATTTCAATGGGGAGCTCATTCCACCATTTTGGAGCCAGGATAGCAAACCGACGTGTTTTTGCTGATGGGAACTTGGGTCCCCCTCGCAGTGCTGGTGCAGCGAGCCGTTTGGCCGATGCAGAGCGGAGTGCACGTGCTGGGGTGTACAGTTTAACCATGTCCTGGATGTAGGAAGGGCCAGATCCATTCGCAGCATGGCACACAAGTACCATTGTCTTGAAGTGGATTCTAGCACTTACTGGAAGCCAGTGAAGTGAGCGGAGGAGCGGCGTGGTGTGGGAACATTTTGGAAGGTTGAAGACCAGACGAGCCGCTGCATTCTGGATGAGCTGCAGCGGTCGGATGGCACATGCAGGTAGACAAGGTTGAGCTTGAGGTGGTGAGCAGACATCCACAGAGATGTCAGCTAGACAAGCAGAGATGCGTGCGACAACCTGGGTCTCTGAGCGGGGAAAGGACAGAATTAATTGGGTGTCGTCAGCGTAGCAGTGGTATGAAAAACCATGCGGGCTAATGACTGATCCGAGCGAGTTTGTGTACAAGGAGAAGAGGAGGGGACCAAGAACAGAGCCCTGAGGGACCCCTATAGTTAATTGACAAGGGTCGGACTCGGACCCTCTCCAAGTTACCCTGTAGGTGCGGTCTTTGAGGTATGAGGTGAGGAGGGAAAGTGCAGAGCCTGAGACTCCAAGTTCTTGGAGAATGCGAAGGAGGATCTGATGGTTCACCGTGTCGAATGCAGCATCCAAAAGGATGATGACAGAGGAGAGGGAGGCTGCTTTAGCCGTGTGCAGTTCCTCAGAGACTGCAAGGAGAGCCGTTTCTGTGGAGTGACCTGCCTTGAAACCAGACTGGTGCGGATCAAGAAGGTTGTTCTGATGGAGATAACAGGAGAGTTGTTTAAAGACAGCGCGTTCAAGTGTTTTAGACAGGAACGGGAGGAGAGAGACAGGCCTGTAGTTTATAACATCAGACGGGTTGAGAGTGGGTTTCTTTAGGAGAGGGTTTACTCTTGCCTCCTTGAGACTGTTTGGAAAGTGACCAGAAGTTAGAGAAGTGTTGATGAAATGGGTGAGAAACGGTAGAATATCAGGAGCGATAGTCTGAAGGAGGTTTGAGGGGATAGGGTCCAGAGGACAAGTGGTAGGACGGGCAGAGGTAATGAGGGTAAGAACCTCACTTGGAGAGAGAGGGGAAAAGGAGGTTAGTGTGTGAAAGGTGGGTCAGGTGACCCAGTGGTGAGTAAAGGTGAGTCAGAAAAAGAAGAGCGAATATCAACCTTTTTTTCAAAGTAGTTGACAAAGTCGCTTGACAGAAGGGAGGAGGGGGAAGGGGCTTTGGGGGGTTCTAAGAGGGTGGAAAAGATGGAAAATAGTTTTTTGGAATAGAAAGATTGGATCTTATCTTGAAAGAAAGTGCTTTTTGCCTGAGAGATCGAAGCAGAGAAAGAGGAGAGCCTGATAGGTTAGGAGGTTGTCAGGGTGTTTGGATTTCCACCGTTTCCGCTCTGCTGCCCGAAGGATGGTTCTATTAGCACGCAGTGCGTCATTTAGCCAGGGAGCAGGAGGGGACTGACGAGCCTGCCGAGATGCGAGAGGACAGAGAGAGTCCAGAGAGGATGAAAGAGTAGAGAGGAGAGTTTCTGCAGCAGAGTTTGGAGGCAGGAGTTGGAACGAGTCAGAGGAAGGGAGGGCTGAGAGGACCGATGAGGCAAAGTAGAAGGGGAGAGGGAACGAAGGTTACGGCGGACAGGTGCAGAATTAGAAGAGATTAGTTTGTTATGTTTGGAAAGAGGTAGAGAGAAAGATATGAAAACGTTATCCGAGGTGTGAAGCGGGTTTACAGAGAGGTTAGAAGTAGTGCAGTTCCTTGAGAATATGAGATCAAGGACATTGCCAGCTTTATGAGTTGGTGGGGATGGAGATAGTGAGAAAGCAAAGGTGGTTAAAAGAGATGTTCGTTCAGCTATCTTCCCTGTCTGGAGGTTGAAGTCTCCGAGAAGTACAGCAGGAGGGCCAGTTTCAGGGATGTGTGAGAGGAGATTATCCAATTCCTCCAAGAAGTCCCCCAAGGCGCCTGGTGGACGGTAGAGAACAACAATGGTTAATTGTATAGGATGGGTTACTGTGACGGCATGGAATTCAAAGGTGGAAGGAGTGAAGTTAGGTAGTTGGTAGAGGGAAAAGCTCAATTTGGGAGAGAGCAGGAGACCAGTGCCACCTTCCGACACATGTACCAGACCTGACAAGAAAGGGATTGAGCAGTCTTACTGTAAAATACATTAATTCATAAAAAAAGCCTCAGAACTCTTTCAAGTCAAAACTAAAACTGCTTACTCATTCAGACCAACAGATCTGGTCATGGTTGCATTTGCAGACGACACTAAGCACTTCTATGAACCACAGTCTTCTGAACTCTTTGTCTTCATAAGAAAATATTTCCATCTTGCAAATCCACATGCTGACAAATTCTTTACAAAAAAAACATTTATTATTTTCTTTTAACAATAGATTTACATGTAAAACAAGTTGATTCTCTTTTAAAATACACATTATGAATTGCATCGAAATATTAATGCCAACGATTAAAACACAGGGTTATGATCCATTTCTGTGATCTGAAGTTACACTACTCATACTGTATGAGCTAGTCTACTCAAAGTTCCTTTGGCTGAGGACCGTGCGGTAGAGAGACGTGCCTATAGCCTGGAAGAAGGTCAGGATCATCTTGTTCTTGGTGACTTCTGCATGGACGAAGCCTCCCAGAGTTGAAGCTTGGCCTGTGAAGAACTTCACTGAACCTTTGGGTACATGGTTCCAGTGGCGGATATCAGGATCCAGGAAGTTTCCAGCCCCACTCACCACATAGCCCACACCAGACTCTTCAATATACTGTACGGGGTACAAAAACAAGAAGGTTAATGTGAAGAAAGTCATGCAGATTAATACCAACAGAGCTTACATGAACCTACCTGCAGATTGTGGTCATGCCCGCAGAAGTAAGCAGTGGCGTTGTATTTTTTGAGGAGAGGATGGAGCCTCTGCAGCAGACACTCTGTGGGCCCGTGTTCAGACACGGACCACACGGGGTAGTGGCCAGCCAGCAACAGGAAGTCTGCCGTGGAGCGAGCCAGTCGCTCCTGTAACCACGTCAGCTGGCGGTTGGCATCCACCCCACGCAGAGGGCCGCGAGGCTTCTCGTCCAGGAAGTCGTCAGAGTTGCCGCACAGCATTATGGTGTCGAGCATGATGATGGTTAGGGTCTTCCCAGTGTTGGGAATCCGGAAGTTCAGCTCGTAATAGTAAGAGGGGAACCTCCTGAGGAGGTTACGGATAGCAGGGTTGTGACAATAACAATAGGTTGATGAAATGATCATTTGTATGTCAATTACTAACGCTCTATTTTTATACGTTTTGAAACTTGTCATCTTGTTCGTAAGTCTTTGACCAAAACTGATGTAATTGGATAACCCACAAGAGGGGTATTTTTTTTAATATGCTATGCTTACTGCCTCAACAACATTTGTTTTCTACCTTGTCTATCTATCTATCTGTTTGTTTTAAGAAATCTCATGTATAAATGTATTTGCTGCTTAATGAAATCCTCTTGGCCTTATCAAACATAAGGTTTAGTACTACACGCTACCAATTACAGCTGTGGAGACATTGGTATAGTTGTCTCTTTGTAGGACACTGAATTAAATTATGAATTTTTTTTTATGCTGTGTATGTAATTTATTATATGTAATGTCTTGTATCTGGACCCTGAGTCTGTAATAAAGTTATGATTTCATTCATTATATATATATATTTTAATATTAAGAAAAGAGAACATGACTTCACAGTGAGCGAAGAATCCAAAAATAGAAAAAAGCTTTGATGAATTTATGTAAATTGGGACTTTCAATAAGAAACTCAATTTGTGCAGTACAAGTCATATCTTGCGCTTACTTCGCAATCACATTAATTTGAGAATAAGTTACCCTTAAAAAAACACCAAATAAAAAAAAAAACAGTAGTACTCGCAGCCGCAAGGCCTCCATTACTTGAATTCCTCAAGACTTTTCTTTCAGGTAAAGTTCCCCATGAAAGCATGTAAGGAAAAACATATTATAAAAAAAAACATGGTCAAGTAATTGATATTAAAAAGGGTCATTTTGGAAGTTAAGTATTCCTTTGAGTTTTTCTTTTATTAGACTAAAGGCAAGTTATTTATTATATAAATGTTTAGGTTCATCCTTACCATCGGTCCGATTTCTTACTGTACTCAATCTGAGCTTTGACGTTCCCTTTATGGTCATGATTGCCAGCAAGCACATACCAGGGGACTTTGAGAGACTTGGCCGTGTACACAGTCTCAAACGTGTCCTGATAGAAGATTAAGATGAGAAACAAGCTCTTTGTTTTTAACCCACCTTACACAATATTGCTTCACATTTCATGCCCCATATTTCCAGTTTACTCAACTGACCTGAAACCGAGGAGAGTCCACGCTGTCCACACCTCTGTAGTAGAAGTTATCGCCAAGGGACAGAACAAAGTCAGCTCCCATCTGCTCTGCTACTTTACTCATCTCCCGAGCAGTAGTCTTCTGCACAGCGGTGATGTAGGGCGGATAGGGCACACCACCCCAGTCTCCCACAGCCAGGAACTTAATTGAGGTTCGGTTTTCTGTGAGGGAATGAAAAATAAACTCTTAAAAAGCCGACAGTGTGAGGAGCAACACATCCCTCTGATATAACTAACAAGAAATCATGAAGAAGCTGTGTAAAGTTATACTCACTACCAGTTGCCTCCAAGTTCTCGAAGGCAGTAGGATAGCAGTAGGCCACATGAATGGCAGCAATTAAGATGTAAACCAGTGAAAGTGCCATCTTTGAAAAAAAACAATCAGATCAACAGTAAGCAGCCAAACCAAATGCAGCTCAAATAAGAGATTTAGACCAAAGCAGCAAACATGAAATCAACACATGCAGAAGAGGAACAGAGCACAAACCGCAGCAACATCATACCATCTGGCCTACGCTTCCTCTCTCCTTCCTACATCTCTCAACAAAAGTAGCTTGCTTTTGTGCCTTAAGGTGACTTGTGATTGGCTGCAGCCTGACATGTCCAAGCTGTAGCTAATGGAAGCTAATCACAGCAGCCATGTGTGATGCAATGAGGGTCAAAGGTCACAACTTCATGTTTGTTAAAGCATGTAATTGCACCTCTGCTTCTCTTAATTAAGAAACACACAGATTGCGATACCACAAAATCTGGATTCAATCCGATACCAAGTATTTCAGGGCCAGTATCGCCGATACCGATACCGATACTTTATAACAATACAAAGTGGCCACAGTAGCAAACTGCCTTCTTGCACACATCACAGTTCGCTAAGTTGTCATTGACAGTAGTGAAATAGCTCCATACAACGATCCTCTTTCTCTCAGCCATCATGCACGTGTGTGTCCCCTAGTCAGCAGTGATACTAGAAAAGCTAAATAAAGTATCTAATGCCTCATTCCTCTCATAGAAAAAAACAAACTGGCTGACAAGAAAAACAACTTGCAGTCTGGAGAGATAATGTCAGAGACGAAGATAAAAAACACTCACAGCTGATAAGTGGTGAGCTCAGGACGAGCTGAGGGACACTCGCAGAGCTCTTCCTGCCCGTCCTTTTATCAGCATTCCTGGAGAGGAGGCGTCCCGCCCCGGGACACGGAGCAGGGCCTGATCATTGCTCACCCTGACTCATCTGAGATACATGTGATCCACAACGGTTATTATAGCCGATGTCCAGACTCCACCTCAGTGTTAATCACAGTTTTTTCCTTCAATTTCTTCAGTCTGCTTCCACTTTTTAAGATCATTTATAAATAAGATAAATAAATATCTCACTGAGTTTATTTCCCTAGCTTAATGCGTAAACTTAAAGCACAACGAATGCTGACAGCAAGGTGAAACTGTAGTCTTAAGTAATGCAGCTTTGTATCATTTAACTTCTGAAACAAACTATTTTCACAAATAGTACAATAAACAACTATATACTGCGTTCTTCTCACTTTGAAACCATGATATTACGTTAAACAGCTAAAAGGCCATCAGGAGTTCATTATAAACTGTGTTTACTTTTTGCCTGACAAAATCAAACTGTCAATAGAAGGCATAACAGAAGAAATATTTCTACATTGACAGTTGATGAGCAACTAGCGTTGATCATTTCAGATTCTATTCACATACGTGGGCCTGAAAAAATAAGCACTCTACTAACTTTAATTTAAAAAAAGAAACCTTGCCAGGTGGTAAATTCTCACCAATGTAATACAGTCGTGTCATTTCTTATTTGGCTCTGTAGGAGGCTTTCAGAAGTAAATGTCAACTCTGATGTCCGAGTTTGAAAGATTTGCTTGTTTATAAGGCAGGAAAGTGTAATACAAGAAGCCATGCGAGTAGCATTATGGGAAATGTATTAGTGTTTTCTCAAACTCAAACTGAGACTAACAGTTCAGATATGTAAGCCTCCTATACTTTGATATTTCATTTTAAACCTATTTCAATGTCATTGTAAGAGCAAAATTAAATTTGTGGTGTGCCCCTTAATAAAGTGATTACAAATCTGAATTCAGGATTGCAAGGTTAGGGCTATATTGTAACGTTGTACTTGTCTATTAAATAATTAAACAGATTGGAAGTAAAACATTTTTCAAAATAAGAGTCATTTATTTAAGAAAGAAGAAACTGAAATACATGTTCAGGTCAAAAGTACAAGCAGAAATAAAAACCATATGTACTGATACAGAACAAGGTTACTAGATGGAAAAAACATAACCGTACAGAGAAGACATAATGACATTAGGGAGGTTGGAGCGGAACCCTCTGATCAGAAGAGGAGCCTGCATCCGTCACCTACAACCGGTCTAATGGCGCATTTCCACTACACGGTCGGCCTCGGCCACACTCGGTACGGCTCGGTACGGCTTGGCCGCGTTGGGCCTTAACAGGGCCGACTCACTTCATGCTGCGCTTCCATTACAGTTTAGGAACTGGGTAGTAACGCAGTGTAGGCGGAGCCGTGACGTCATCTTCAATGAGAAATCCAGAAACACAACGCAGCCGTTAGCTGTGAGCACTCAGAGCTCACAGCTCCTTATATATGTTCAGAAACTCGACAAAAGTTAAACAAGTACACACCACAGACTGCCTGTGTCATGGTGAATACAGTCGCTGCTTAATTTATGTCTGTATAGGCCGTTGTTGTGAGTGTGGACGGTCGGGGCATATACTGCGTTAGCTTAGCCAATCTCCATCTAGAAAAACACGAATTTTAAAAGGTTTTTCGCCTGCCGTCTGTCTGCAGACTTGACAAAGCATTAATTCATGGTTTTTACTAACCGGTATCAGTATGTTGTTACTTCGGCATCATTTTGAAACGTGTATTACAATTAAATCACGGTCAAATATGTCCATCTTGTTGTAGTTCTAGCCCTCTTGCCAGCGCTCCTCTCTCTAATGGCGCATTTCCACTACACGGTCGGCCTCGGCCACACTCGGTACGGCTCGGTACGGCTTGGCCGCGTTGGGCCTTAACAGGGCCGACTCACTTCATGCTGCGCTTCCATTACAGTTTAGGAACTGGGTAGTAACGCAGTGTAGGCGGAGCCGTGACGTCATCTTCAATGAGAAATCCAGAAACACAACGCAGCCGTTAGCTGTGAGCACTCAGAGCTCACAGCTCCTTATATATGTTCAGAAACTCGACAAAAGTTAAACAAGTACACACCACAGACTGCCTGTGTCATGGTGAATACAGTCGCTGCTTAATTTATGTCTGTATAGGCCGTTGTTGTGAGTGTGGACGGTCGGGGCATATACTGCGTTAGCTTAGCCAATCTCCATCTAGAAAAACACGAATTTTAAAAGGTTTTTCGCCTGCCGTCTGTCTGCAGACTTGACAAAGCATTAATTCATGGTTTTTACTAACCGGTATCAGTATGTTGTTACTTCGGCATCATTTTGAAACGTGTATTACAATTAAATCACGGTCAAATATGTCCATCTTGTTGTAGTTCTAGCCCTCTTGCCAGCGCTCCTCTCTCTAGTTTAGCATACTCAGCCCGACTCAGCCCTGTTTGTTGGCCCCGATAGAACCACAATTTTCTAGGGCCAGAAAAGAGGGGAAAAAGTGGCCCCGCGCCGTGCCGCGCCGGAACGAGGCCTAGTGGAAGCACAACCAAAAAAGGGGACGGCACGACACGGCACGCTTAAAGCGAGCTACGCGCTGCAATGGAAATGCGCCATAGTTTAGCATACTCAGCCCGACTCAGCCCTGTTTGTTGGCCCCGATAGAACCACAATTTTCTAGGGCCAGAAAAGAGGGGAAAAAGTGGCCCCGCGCCGTGCCGCGCCGGAACGAGGCCTAGTGGAAGCACAACCAAAAAAGGGGACGGCACGACACGGCACGCTTAAAGCGAGCTACGCGCTGCAATGGAAATGCGCCATAACAGAGGCCTGTACTAAGAAGAGGATTTGGGGTCAGTGAGGTCACTTCAGGGTTAAATCTGTATTTTCAGTACTACGACGCTGGTTCACTATTTACCCGGGTAAATCGCCATGGTAACTTATGCTCCGGAGCAGGTAATGTTCGAGATAAGAGATTCGAGTGTAAGCACCGCCTGCTGACCAATCAGAGCTCTGTGTGGGGAGTTTAAAGCAATAGTTATATTCCAGGCTGAAGGAAACTGCAGTATATGCAGGCAAGACGGGCGGCAATACAACGCCGACTGTGTGAACATGTAAATTAACAGAATATCCCCGCCCATCTTCAGAAAGATCTGACTATTATGACACCTGCGGTAAACACACTTAGATGAACGTTTAATAAACCACAGCTGTCTTTAATATATAAAAATAAGCCTGTTTACTACGGTAACATTTTTGAATTTTATTATTTGTGGGGACGTATAATATCTTTTCTATTCCACAAAAAAATATTTTAAACACATTCAGTTGACGAAACACTCAAAGGTAATTCAAGTGTCGGATCCACTTGTGTCTAAAATGGGGCAGTGATATTATAAAGCTGTTTATTTACGCATTCTAACAGTCAGTAGTTTCTTTTGCCGTCCCTCCTGCTCTTTGCAGCTATGTTGCTTTATCCTGGATTATGTGTTTAACTCACGGATGCATAAAGTTTAAATTCTTCATACTTGTCTAATATTACAGATGACTCATTCATTGACGTATGACGCTGCGCAGTCTGTACGCTTGTGCAGGTTTGTTATTGGTCGATGTTGTTAACCCCGCCCCTTTTACTTGAACGCACTCTCAGCCGGACAGAGAAACCCTGGGTTGATTTACTGGGTTGATTTACCGAGTTGTTAACCAGCATCGTAGGACCACTTAGCGAGATCACCATTGTTATGGTTAGTAAAGTAAGATAACTCAAATGTCCAAGAGCTATTGATGTGAGAACGCAACAAAAACACGACATAGTGAGGTGAGAAGGTTGTACGCTGATGATTAGTAATGCATGTTGTTCTGGTTCTGTCCTCCGAAGTCCTGGTACGAGCTGCAACTCTGATTCTGATTCTCGGAGGACGACTGGTACCCCCAATCTGTGGACAAACCAGAAGGTGTTATATGATGGGTCTGATACATCATTATGCTTTTGGGGGTTTTCTCCTGTAGTGTGTTTTGTGCATGTAAATGGTCTACAAAGGATAACATCTGTGTGGTTCCTCATGAGGGAGTTTCTCTCCCACACACTCCCCCCCTGCCTGAAACACCACCATTGGCCTCCTTTGTTTAGTTCCGTAATATAGTGACATCACTATGTAACACTCACACTTCTTTTGGCTAGTGCCCCAACACATTGTACGTGATAAGCTAAGGGGCGGGACATCTCTAAGCAGTTGACCAAACAGAGCAGACTGGGCTCTGGTTTCAGACAGAGGGTGAAAAGACAGGCAGTATGAGAAAAATAAAGAGCTTTGTCAGACATGTCACAGTAGACTAGAGGCACAGAAAACGATGAGACCTGAAAACATGCTTAATAGGGCCCTTTTAAAGCAGGATGTGGATTAAGTCCAGTTGCAGTTTGTATCCAACACGTC